CCTCCTCAACTCCTCTGGCTCCCCTTCATTTTCCTCTTATTCTCCTATATAGTTCTTTGGATTGAGCGATGATGTGTTTGCCCTTTTATTTTAAGAAACAAAATGCAGATTTCACTGCTTATGTTAATGCTATTTAGCATGGGTGTCATGCCATCAGCAACTATTGGGACCCTCTCCAACTTTGGCACCCACCTCCCCTCACAGTTTTAAAGCTGAAGATCCTCATTGATTTCCCACACACACACACTGTACAGCCATGAAATGGGAAATATTGTCACCGGCTGTGTCATCTGGCAGCTCAAAGAAATGACAGCAGGATCTAAATGGGTGATTTGACCCGTACATTCACAAGCAGCTGCCTCTAAGTAACTAGCCAGTCTGCTGTGAAGAAGAGTTAAAGTCTCGGGGTCAGTTTTGGGGTTTAAAGTTCCTGTAGTGGTATTGCTTGGGGAAATTTCTTTTTCTGTTCCTCAGGAACGCCTTAGATTTTTTGGCAAGTTCTTCCTGAAATAATCTGTGGCCTGTAAGCCCTTCCCCTGGTTGTTCTGTTCTCTTCTGTTCTGTTTGTTCCATTGAGCTAATTGCAGCATTTGGTGTATTTTACACATAGGGTAAGCTGGAAGATCGGAAACCTCTGATGGTCTTGTTTGGAGACGTTGCCATGCACTACATTCTCTCTGCTGCTCAGTGAGTACCATCCAGCTGCTGTAATGTCACACAAAACTGCATATAGTAAAGTGGCTTTGTAGATGTAATTTGCAACAGATATTGCTTCTTGACTACAGGAAGCTGGGCCTAGGTTAGGAGAGAACAAAATCATCCTGTCTTTTGCAAAACCTTAATAACTTCAAGTTTATTCAAATCCCATAATTGAAGGACAAAGTGATAGAAGTATCATAGCTTCCCCAGCTTTCTATTTTAGCTTGAAACAGACCAGCAGGGACTCTTTCAGAAGGGTGAGATTTTAAATGCCAGTAAAGCAGTTCTTGATAATGGCAGAAAAAATCTCACTGCAATAAAATGAAATAGCTCTAGTCCTCTTTTTGTCTGCAAGATAAGTACCAATATGCTTGTTCCCTACAGCGTGAGTAACTGTGATCTTTTTTGTTTGTTTGTTTTCCCCCCCTTCCCAGGACAGCAGATGGAGAAGGCCTGGTGGAGAAGCACTATGTTTTCTTGAAGAGACTTTGCCAAGTTTTGTGTGCATTGGGCAGCCAGCTATGTGCGTTACTAGTAAGTCTCTGCTAATACCACCGGCAACCCTGGTGAGGCTAGTTTTTGGGGCTGGGGGTGAGGCAACACTGATCTAAGGCAGGACCAGGGTTCTCTCTGCACATTTGGTATCTGTAGGGTTCTCTCCGCACGTTTGAAAAAGGCAGAAATGGCTCTACTTGCAAGTGGGGTAACTGTATCCTAGCAAGTCACAGGAACGGAGAATGGAGAGGGACCCTGACTGATTCCAGGCCTCTGCTGTCATCAAGAATCATCTCCTGTAACCTCTGTAAAATGCTCAGGCTTCATTGAGAATTGGTCATTTCTTGTGCTGTCTCCTGCTACAGAAAAAACTCCAGGAAGTTACTTTGTGTTTAGGAGCCTTTTAAATTTCCTTATTAATTTTAACTTAAAGAGAGTATGCCTGCTTGTTCTTGTACGAAGATTGACTCACGCTGAAGAAGGAAACGGGTTTTGTTTCGGCTGTTCACCTTTTCAGTGCTTGGTGTCAATGCTGAGATGAAGATGCATGTGGATGCTTTGTGTGCCATGCTGGGTGCTGAATTCCCACTCCCTCCATTCAGCACAGTGCTTCTTCAGCAAAGGAGGCAGACTGACTGAGAGATGCTGTTTGTGGGGAGACTTGTACAGGCAGCCAGCCTGTACCAGTGCTACAGCAAAGTAAATTGTCACAGGGAGGGAAGAAAAAAACAAACCCTTTGAGAATTTATCCCTGACAAGAATGGACAGCAAACAAAGGGCATGTCATTGCTTTCAGTGACTTCACTTGCCATTAGGCAGTGGGAGCTGTTAGTCTGTGATGAAGTAATGAGATGAGGATTTGAGTCTGCTCCAGATTCACTCAGGACAGGTGACAGTAAGCTGTAGTGCTTCAAAACAGGGGTCTTGAGGACATGGTTAGTGAGGAATCGCGAAACCTTGAATTTATAGTGTAGAGTAAAACTTATTTTCCTGACAAACTTCCTAGAAAGTTACTGGTAAGAAACATCCATATGTTAAATGCAGGAAACATTTGGAGTGATGAGTGTGAAATCATCTGGGTGTATTTGCTTGTGAAATTCTGCAGCCTGCACCTGCAAATTGCTCCACTTCAGTTCTGTTGGGTGGGCTTGACTCAACAGAAGTAAAATTGTGATTTGTGACAGCAGCAGCAGCTGTTATGAATTTCGTTTTAATGAAACTCCAGTGTCTGAGAAGTCACACTTCCATAGAATCGTAGAATTGTTTACATTGGAAAAGACCTTTTAAGATCATTGAGTCTGGCTTTTTTCGCTTCAGTAAAGGGTGGTGCTATCTCCTGTTCCCCCAGGCTGGTCAGAAGAACTTGCTACTCCTCCTCAGGCTATACTGTTCTCAGCAAAAAAAACCACAACAAACCAAGAGTTGTTCAGTGTTTTCGTCTCTGGTCTTTTACAGCATATGGCCTTGCAACGCAGTGCTCCTGCTTTACCCAGAGACATATCACTTGTGGGCCCAGCATGACACAGAGTTAGTGTTTTGTCTGAAATTGTTTGTCTTCCAAACAGGGCTCAGAGTCTGATGTGGAAACACCAGCCAACTTTGGAAAATACCTTGACTCGTTTTTAGCCTTCACAACCCACCCGAGCCAGGTACGTTGTAAAGGGCTGAAAGTCTCATATATGTGTATGTAAGCATGTGTGAATGCATAATTGAGCTAACTTATAGAAGACTGCAGAACTTCATCAGCCACGTATTATTCTCCAGGCTCTTCCTTACAGCTGAAGACCTGGAAGGCAGAGTGGTTTCTTCTCCATTACGGCCCCTTTAGGAACAGTGCCTGACAGAGAGGTGCTGAGTAGGAAGTGCAGAGTTTGGTCAGCCCTAATATTTACTTGGACACTTCTGGTCTTCTGGAATTTTGGGTTGTGCTGGCAAGGTGCCTTGGCCTCAACTGAACAGTCAATGTAATATGCTGTTGCCTTCTGATAGCAACACTTAACATTAGGAGTGAAGTTTGCATCATTGAAATCCTCAGTTCTTTCCCTCAGTTTCTGCGCTCCTCCACCCAGATCACATGGGGAGCTCTCTTTCGGCATGAAGTTCTGTCTCGAGACCCCTTGTTGCTGGCAATGATTCCCAAGTATCTCCGTGCATCTATGACCAACCTAGTGAAGGTATGTAGGAACTGCAGCCAGGTGGGTGTGAGAAGGTGCCTAGGTGACCATGAGTTGTGGGGGAGGAACTACATTTTTATTGTGTCTGCCAGAGACATGATCTCCAGGCCACTGAACAACTAGATCTGTCTCAACATTTTAGTGTCTGCTCTTTGCCTTCAGTCTCCATCTCCTTGCAGCTGGTGTTTAGCTGGATGGGACTTCCCTTCCTTCCCGACTGTGGTGGTTTTACCCTGGCTGGAGGCTCTCTGCCCCTCAAAGCCACTCTCTCACTCCCCTCAGCTAAACAGGAGAGAGAAAATATAATGGAATGTACCAATTACCGTCACAGACAAAACATACTCTACTTGGGGAATTAATTTATTACCAATCAGAGCAGGTCGATGAGAAATAAAAGCAAACCTTAAAAACACTTTTCCTCCCTGCCCTCCCTTCTTCCTGAGCTTAGCTGTGTTCCCCATTTCTCCACCTCCTTCCCCTGAGCGGTGCAGAAGGATGGGAAATGAGGGTTGCAGTCAGTTCATTAGATGTCTCTGCCGCTCCTTCCTCTTTAGTATTAGGACTCACACTGTTCCCCTGCTCCAGTGTGGGGTCATTCCCACGGGAGACAGTTCTTCACAAACTGCTACAGTGTGGATTCTTTACATGGGGTGCAGTCCTTCAGGAACAGCCTGCTCTAGCATGGGTCCCCCATGAGGTCACAAGTCCTGCCAGCAAATCTGCTCCAGGGTGAGCTCCTCTCTCCATGGGTCCTGCCAGGAGACAGCCTTCCCATGGAGTCATGGCCTCCTTCAAGCATCCACCAGCTCTGGCATGGGATCCTCCATGGGCTGCAGGTGGACGTCTGCTCCACCGTTAATTTATGTGGGGTGCAGGGGGAAAACTTGCCTCACCATGGTCTTTATCATGGGCTGCAGAGGAATCTCTGTTCTGGCACCTGGAGCACCTCCTCCCCCTCCTCCTTCACTGACCTTGGTGTCTGCAGAGTTGTTTCAAATTCCCACTTCTCTCTCTGGCTCCAGTAAGTCTGGCACAGTAACTTCTTTTTCCCATTTCTTCAATATGTTATTCCAGTCGTGCTGCCACTGTCTGTCATGGGCTCGGCCTTGGCCATTTCAGAGCTGGCTGGCATTGGCTGTGTCAGAAATGGGGGAAGCTTCTAGCAGCTTCTCACAGAAGCCACCCCTGCAGCCCCACCTGCTACCAAAACCTTGCCGCACAGACTCAGTACACTGATGTTACCTGCTCTGTCTCCAGGTGGGCTTTCCCTCTAAAACAGACAGCCCCAGTTGTGAATACTCCCGCTTTGATTTTGACAGCGATGAGGACTTCAACGCCTTCTTCAACTGTAAGTTACCATCATCCTGTGTGGACGCTGTTGTCAGTGCCTTTCCTTACTTTCAGTTGCTGGCTGAGCTCGGAGCCTACCGTTTCGGCTTGGCAGCTTCCATTTGTGTCTTGACTCTTTCAGACTGGGTCTTGGAGTTAAATCATTGTAGGATTTTCCTGTGGTGGCTCAGGCATTTCATTTTATTTACTTTTTGCTACTATTTTGCTTGCTGGCCAGGTAGGTGGCCTAGTAACATTTGCTACCTAGTGTCAATGAAAATGTGCCTCTTGGTCATCTGGAGGAGGAAATGTAACAGCCCAGAGTCCTGCTCAGGTTCGGAGACAAAGGCAACGAAAGACTTTAAATGTCATTCCAGTAAGAAAATCTGTCTTGGCCTTGCTGAGAAGCTTCTGGTTCAGTACGAATAGGTAGGGTTGAGCAATTAAAATAGCCACATGTAATCATGATCTTAAACCAGCAAACAGGAAACTCTGGGTATTAATAATTTTATTTTTCCTTTCTTTGTGTTTTTTACTTCCCAAAACTGAGGCTGATTGTCACTGGCTGGTATAATTTGGTACTCACTAGGTGGCTGGGATATTACTTACGTTCTTACTTTTTACATTTATGTTTGAAGATTTTAAGTGTTGCAATTTTTTTATTGCTTATTAGGTAGCTTATTTTTAACTTAGTGTAATAAATCTGTTTGTGTGGAAATGAAAAAGTAGCTAAATTCACAAAGTCAAAATTTGAAGTTGTTTTAGGGAGTTAAATTATATTGAAAGTATTACATATCATCATATAAGAAAATGCAGCTGATTTGAACACACAAAATAAAATTACTTGATAGAACAACTTCTTTAAACAATGCAAGTTGCATCTGTCGTCAGCAGAGCTGATTCTTTTATGTGGTCGTGTATTGGAACATTTTTGGAACAAACAAACTTTCTGTTCTGTACTTTGCTTTTTGAAATTGAAAATAAGATTTCTTTTTTTGGTATTATTTTTTTGAGATTGAATTAGTTTGTCAGCCTAGAATCTGAATGGATTTAAGTTGAATAATCTAGAAAAAATGTGTTTAGCTGAAGGAAGTGGTAGTTACCAAATGCTTGTTCTCTATCTCAATATCTCAAAGTCTTTTGTAAACAGCAAGCATGTATAGCTTGAAGATTTTTTTTTTTAATGAAAAACAGAGGCTTAATTGTAGTAAATCTGGATTTAGCATAGACTTTCATAATTCATACTGCATTTTAATTACACTTCTTAAAATGTTAACCCATCATTTTTTAGTCCATTTAAATTGCTTCCAAAATTGCCCATCCTGTTACACATAGTTTACTGACTGTACCTGAGCTTACTATACGGCTATTGCCAGAGCGTCAGTCCAAAATGTTCCCAAGTCTGCAGAGTTGCAGGTGAGCTTTGGGGAAGGGCGCATTTGCAACATCAGCTTGTTGCATGGCCTCTCATTTTTCACTGCAGCTTTCCGAGCGCAGCAAGGAGAGGTGATGAGGATGGCTTGTCGTCTGGACCCTCGCACAGGCTTCCAAATGGCTGGTGAATGGCTAAAGTACCAGCTCACAGCTCCTGTTGATACTGGACCCATGAACTGTAAGTTACCTGGAAAAAAAAATAGAGATAAGGGATGTTTTGGGTTTTTTTTCAAGCCAAGAAGAAACTTTTTTCCCTTTCTTTTCTGTCTCTTCCTTTTTTTTTTTTTTTTTTTTTTTTTGGTAAGAGGAAGCCGGTATGACTAAGTTTTCAGTCTTTTAAGGTCTTTACAAGTTGAAAACAAAATCAAATCAAACCTACCACAAATTGAACTCTTTGCAGTCTTTGTGAAATAGCTAATGTAAAACCCCCAGTTCCTTCTTTCCATCCCCCAGATCCATCTGCAAAACAGATGCAGCTTCCCCTCTGATACAGTTTTAAAGCTATTTGGGCCTTACTATGTCTGTAACATATTGCTTATTTTTGTCCAGGAAGTTCTGCCTGTCTAGCAGACCCCTATGTCAATCACTTTGCTTTCCTCATGTGAAGGAAGACTTGGTGCTCTGCCAACTCACTCCGAGGGCAGCCCTGCCTGCAGTGCTGCGTCTCCACATGTGGTCTCCCTCCTTTTCTTTTCCCTTCTGTGATTTATTGGTGTTGCTCCCTGTAGTATCTCAAGGGTCAGGCTTATGTCTCGGGAGCCTTCACCTGAATGAGGTAAATCCCGTGGGAGGACCTTAATTGCTTCAGGTGCAGCCCTGCAGGCATCTGCAGGGAGAGCTGTGTGACTGAAATGCTTGTGAGTACAAAGATGTTGCAGCAGCGCAGGAGCTTACCAGCCTGCTGTTGTGCATGTGAGGAGGAGCATGGTGAGAGCTCCAGTATTCTCTTCTTTCAGCTAAAACAGGCGAAGGTCTCTGCTCCATCTTCTCTCCATCCTTTGTGCAGTGGGATGCCATGACCTTCTTCTCTGAGAGCGTCATCAGCCAGATGTTTCGAACCCTGGATAAAGACGTATGTGTATCAGATTCTCTTGCCTGCTCTTCTGGCTAGTTCTAGGTCGACATGAGTTGGTTTTTCAGCTGTGTTGTCCTTGAAAGGTTTGTAGTGACTGCAAAAACCCAGATGGTTTGGTGAGTGATTCTCATGAGGAATAGTGACTTCTTTTTAGATGGGACCAAACTCATACTGTCTTACTCAAAGGCACGTCTGAGTTCTGGACACTATGCCATGAGAAGTCACAGGAGAGCACTTGAGTGGCCTTCTAGAGAAGGACTGCTTAGGCAGAAATTTCCTAAGTCTGTTCTAATCCCCTGATTAGTTTGGGGGTTTTAATTTAATTATTTTTTTAAACTTTTAACTAAATGAGAGAAACTCGGGAAGTAGGAGATCGGATGCAGTTTCTCTCTGCTTTTTGTTCAACAGCAGATGAATCAGAAGGAAAGGTTTATTTTCTGTCTGATGTACACTGATTGGATTTCTGTATTAGATTTGGCTGCTCATGCACTTCATATTTCATCATTCTAATCACAGTAGCAAAATTATATGGGTTGATATAGTTGACTGTGCTGAGCAGATTCCATGCTGGACCAAGAGGAGAATCGAGAGAGGAAAATTGCCTTTCCTGGAGATGCAAGCAATAGCGTGGGGACTTGAGAAAGATGTCTCAAGACTGCCTTGCCAACAATGGCAGTGCTGCCATCCTCTTTCTCTCGGCAAGTGCGTGTAGCACACAGTTAAACTGAGGCTCTTACCGCTTCTCTTTTCTGCTTTGAGAACAGCCGAGAGGCCTGATGTGATAGCAGCAGCTCTGTGGCGTAGATCTAGGAGTTGTAGGCTGTGTGCAACAGGCTGAAGCACTGATCGTTGCCTCATTTTTTACTTTCCTCCTTCTTTCCCTTTGCTGCCTTTTAGGAAATCCCAGTGAATGATGGCATAGATCTGCTCCAGCTTGTCCTTAATTTTGAAACAAAAGATCCTCTCATCCTGTCCTGTGTGCTCACCAACGTCTCTGCTCTCTTCCCATTTGTCACTTACCGACCAGAATACCTACTGCAAGTACTTTCCAAGGTAGGTACTTGCAGACCCTGCTGAAATCAGGTGGGTTTTTTGTGGTGCAAGGCCCTTGTACTAAACTGCGGAAGTTAATCCTCTTGGCGTTACTGTCAAGAAAGGGCTGTCCTTTGTGTTAAAGGTGGGAAAAGCCAAGGCTGAGTCTCATCCGAGAAGAAACAGTGTCAAATAACACAATTTTTGCAGTACATAACCTTAAATTGTAACATTAAGTGCATGCTCTGGCCAGTAAACACCAGGTTTTATTTCAAGGCCTCCCTGTGCTGATCATTCATTTTTGCACTTAGTCAAGGATTCTTCCTTGACTTTAGTAAAATTGCACTAAAGTTTTATGATCTGTTCCTTGAGCTCAAAATAGACATGAGTGCTAGATATTAACAAATTATCTGAGTTTTTGGATTTTTCCTCCCTTTTCTCACAGCTATTTTCTTCGGTTACCTTCGAAGTTATAGAAGAAAGCAAGGTATGTCTGAATTATTGCCTGCTAATGAGCTATGACAGTTGGATGAAATTGTATTTGAGAGGACGCTGAGTTTGAATACTCTGCTGTAGTAGGTTTCTTAAGTATAGTCCTGCTCCTAGAAAGGGCTGGGGAGTAGAGATACAACTGGTGTCTTCTTGGTGGACGTAGCCTAATAAGCTTTGGCTCACAGAAGGCCACAGACGTGGCTTAAGGTGAGTTCACTTAGTCCCCCGATCTGTGCTGGCTTTCCTGACAGTGAAATCCCTTCATTAGCTGTGGGTAATTATCAGTAGCTCGTGCATGGGTGGCTGTGACAGATAGCTGTAAAGCCAGCAGCTACCCAGAGAGTGCTTGGAGTCTTGGAGTAGTGAGTAAGATCCACGGCACCCTCGCTCCTGGAGTACAGCTTGTTCAAATGGGGGCTTCTTGAGTTGGCTACGGCTCCAGAGGAAATTTGATTGTTGCACGATTGATTGTGGTGGGAAGGGTGTGGAAATGCTGTTTTTGCTCTGTACTCAAGAGTGCAGAGAAATGTATGTAATGCATTTGTCTCTTGAAGATACCCTGCATTTGTCTGAACTTTTCTTTTGTTGCATTGAAGTTTGTTATGTCTGTCCAGGCTCCTAGAACTAGAGCAGTGAAGAATGTGAGAAGGCATGCATGCTCCTCAATCATAAAGATGTGTCGAGATTATCCTCAGCTTGTCCTGGTATGTAAATGCAACCCTGTCACGAGGAGTCTTGCCTCAATTCCAGTTGGATTTTGTGGGATCTTCAGCTTCCTTGGCTTGAGCTTCTGTTTTTCCTCTAATAAGAAAAGTTACTGCTGTGCAAATGGCAAAGGTTTTTTATTCCGTGTGTCTTCTTTCTTCCCCCCCACCCCCTGAAAAACTTTCTGGCTGAAGATTTGAGTTGTAGAGTGATGACTTAAATGAGAAGGTGATGCAAATGCAAAGAGGATGAGGAGAAGAATGGAAGCAGCACTAGGTTCATTTTATGGGAATGTTTGCTAAATTTCTATTTTATCACTTGTGGTAGTTTAAACTGATTCCTTAGCTGAAGATGCTAGCAATTACTAATCTCCAGACTTTGTTCTGTTACTTAACAGAATGTAGGAGCAAGAGGAAAGTATTTCTTTTCTGAATTAGCTTGAGAAGACTAAAAAAAACAAAACAAAAATGTTTAAGATCTTGGGCTAGTGTTTTGTTTGGTTTTGCTGAACTAAACATCCTGCATGACACATGCACAGCTCTGAACTCCTTTCTTTAGTGGTGTTTGTGTGCAGTGGATTTAGGATTATGGGAGCACCATAGGACATTGCTAGTTTAAATGAAGACTTTTTTAGGATGCTAATTAAGGTAATTTAGGGGTTCCATTCTGCATTCTGCAATAGCTGCTGAGAACCAGCAGGACTGTTTTTGACCCACTCTACTGGTCCTTGAACTTCAACTCCCCCTTTCCTATGGCCAGCCGGGTGTCCTCATTGGAAGAGCCAAGGGCCTAGAACTGCCCCAAAATATATTTAGATGATTTTGCTCAGGGGCATTCTTGCTAATGCTTACAGAAAGTTACCAGAAGACATGCTTGTGACTAGAGTGGTGGAGGAAACTCTGCAGTTCCTGTGGAGGTAGTGATAACCATGTGAGTCATTATCAACCTAGTTGTGAGCAAAGAGATGGAAGAGTGCTAAATTTGGCACTTTGGAGCCAAAGGAGTGACGTACTTTCTGTGAGCCAGTAAAAACACCAGACCTATGTTGAGGTGTGACACTGCTGTAAGGGGTGACTGCCTAGAGGAGAGAGATTTCTTCTGCTTATTTTAGTCATTCTAGTGACTAAAGTAAACTGGATGCAGGATGATGATAGGAGTAAAAGAGGTTATTTTAGACTGAACGCTCCGAGAAATTTGAGAATGAGGAGTTGGCTGTGTGGAGAAAAGGTAACTTAGATGTGCTTCTCCAGCCATTCTGCATAGTACGCTACAACCCACCTCTGCCTTCCCCAGTGGCCCTTCTTCACACAAAATGTGTGACGCTGTTCTACTTGGATGTGTTTTCTAGCCAAACTTTGAGATGTTGTACAACCACGTGAAGCAGTTGCTCTCCAATGAGCTACTCCTGACGCAGATGGAGAAGTGTGCTCTTATGGAGGCCCTTGTCCTCATCAGCAACCAGTTCAAGGACTATGAGCGGCAGAAAGCTTTCCTGGAGGAGCTCATGGCTCCTGTTGCTGGCTTATGGCTTTCGCCAGAGATGCAGAGGTATGGATCCTTCTTCTGAGCTTTGAGCTGGAGGTGTTGCAGAGGGAATGTTGTGCCCAATGAGGGAATCTGCAAATCACATGAGGGTGGTGGGGAGCCTGGGGACCTCTTGTGGTCTGGGCACTCATGGTGGTCATAGCTCTCATGTTCAAAGCATTTGCAGAAAATGAGAAAATATCTCTTTTCTCACTTCCAGGAGAAGCGAGGAAGCTGAGCTCTCCTTACCAAAGCTGAGGTGTCCTGCAGGCCTGGGCAACTGGGCATGCATCAGCATTTTCCCCGCAGGGCTATCTTCCTAGATTCTGAGGTTTTAAGTCCCTGTAGCCCAAGAGAACTGGAGATGTTTGGAGACTGCACACACCTCTGGTGCTTTTAATCATTTTCCTCCCAGCTAGTCTCCATAGCCTGCTTTATATTTGGTGTGATGTTTATTGCCAGTGCGAATCTCTACTCAAATTCCCTGGTACAAACAATAATCCCCATTGCTGTCTTTTGCTGCTTCCAGAGTCCTCTCAGATCCTGAAGCCTTTATTTCCTACGTGGGTGCAGACAACAAAATTGCTGATCCAGTGTTGGAAGATCCTAGTGGCCTGAATCGCTCTAGAGTAAGTATCATTACCAGGAGAGGTGTAATCCTTAATGAGATGGGACTTGCCTCCTTCCATCCCCCATTTCTGTGGCGATTACACACAAGATCTCTCCTGATCTTCTGTCTCTTTAGGGTGCAGATCAGTAGGTTTTTCACATTGCGGAGTAACAGGCTGGCTTTTGCCTCTAAGCTGCAGTAATGAGCATGTAGGCAGTGCAAAGGCAAATTATTTGGTAGCGAGGCACCCTATTCCCAACTCTGTGTAGTGGAATTTGCTTTTGGAGAAACGGTTGGTTTACATGATTTTTAAAAATATGATGCAGTGAGTTGTGCCTTTTGAGCCAGGCAATATGGAAAGTGTCATGCTGAGACTGCAGCATGGAATATATTTAAAATTTATCCAAGGAGATTCATGTTGCTTGAGTTCTTAGTGAAATGTCTTTACTTCTGGGACAGACTGCACATGCAGTTGCTGTCTTTAGATCCGTAGAAGATGGTGAAATGCAGTCCCTAGAGCTGTGCTTGTGATTTGGGACTAATTCATCCCTGTGTCATCACAGATCTCTACATCTGTCCCAGCATGTGAAAGAGATAAGGACCTGATGGTGTAGACCTTCACTTTTGGAGGCCAACTACCTGGGTGTTGCATACTCATGAAACCATATGCCTTGATACTTTGTCTTATTGCGAGTTCCTAGGCCCTCCTGCCATGGCCAAGGGTCACTGAAGATCACTGTAGCACGATCAATTGCTCCATTTCTTAGTTGCAAACTCACCAGTTTGTTGCTGTCACCAGATCAGGCTCACTGTAGAGCGTTGTCTTCGAGATGGGGTGATGGTGGGTTTCTCCAAAAACCGATTTGTTCAGGTTGTGCTCTGGCTAAGAAACACTTTCTCCACATCTCTTGCTGCAGATAAGCTTTTGTGTGTACACCATTCTGGGAGTTGTGAAACGAGCTCGTTGGCCTGCTACTACTGAAGAGGCAAAAGCTGGAGGATTCTTGCTGGGATACATGCCCAGTGGAAGTCCAATCTACCGTAATCCCTGCACTGAGCAGGTCCTGAAGCTTCTTGACAATTTACTTGCTCTTATAAGGTGGGTCAGGTTGACTTGAAATCCTTTATGTTGACTTAAGAATCTCTGAAAGCCAGACTGTGATAAATACATGGAATGCTCAGAGCATGTTCTCCCAGTGAAGCCAGTGGGAACACAGGCTGGTGCAGGTGCCCGAGTACTGTTCCTGACTGTTCACAGTGGGGAATGGCACTGGGCACTGGAGCCTTTTGAATGTTCATTGGCCTGACCTACAAGAGTCCATTAAAGCCAATGGGAGCTTGGTCTGGGGTTGCCTCCCCCACCTCCACTGCTGTAAATCTGCCACCCAGTTAATCATTTCTCAGCTAACATCTCTACTCTGCCCTCAGCCCCTACAAGGCCACCTCTCCAGTCACCACCAGGGCAGTCCCAGCTCTCATCGCATCCTGTTTGCGTTGTTCTCTCTTCAGTGTTAAATTAAGCTGGTTGTGCTGAACTTCAACACCAGCTTCCTGAAGCACTGTCTGCTACTGAAAACAGTGGATGCATACTCTCGGGCTGTTGCTACCTTGCAGTGCCTCTCAGCATGTCACTCGTGTTGTGTACGTCTGGGGCAGCAAGAGGAGGGAGCAAGAAAAGGCAGAAAAGGGGAATCCTGAGTAACACTGTTCTCAGAATTGTAAAGGCGTGATCTCTCTCAGGGTAACAGCTGACACAGGGATTTTGCCAGGTTTGTGGGGCAATTTTGTGAGCTAACACGATGTGTTATGTCCTTGAAAACTTTGTCTTTGGCAGGAGCCTGTTGGGAAAGAGCATTTTCAGATCCACTTCAATTTTCCAGCTCCCAGGTCTGTGAGGAAAGGGGCCCTACTAACTACTCAAGCTCTGTCTAATCAGGTGTGTGTGGTAGTTGCTGAGCTCCAGACTGTGCTGCTTCCAGTGAGAAGCAACATGCTGGACTGACAGGACAAGCACACACTGTCTTGGCCCACCCCGTAGCTCTGCTTCTCATCGCAAAGGTCTGTGTAGCGCAGTGGGTGATACTTGGGCCAGTGAGCAGGGTGATGGCAGGTTATGGCTGCGGACTTGTGCTTGAGGTGGTTTTGCCTTTTATCCTGGAAGACTGAAGATCCTAACTTTTGGGAGAGGTTAGGTAGAGGTAGCTACGTGTCATTTCTTCCAGATCCTGGAGCATGCTCCATACTGTAGGAGACCAACTAAACCAGTGCCCAAGGTCTGAACAGGCTGCATCAGACAGACTTCTTGCCTGTGCAATTGCTGTTCTTGCCAGAGCTTACCATTATTACAAACACTTGGGATTTCTGTTAGAAAAACCTAGGAGGCTATTGTCAAACTCTGTCCCTACCTGTAAAGAAGCAGGAATTCTGTGTCTGCTTGTTTACCACTGCCAGGAAGACATGAGCTATGTTCTTTTGCCAGTTAGTCTCCATCTACATAAAGGAAGAGGGTCACAGGCTGTTTTTTGAGATAATGCATCTGTGTTGTTCAAGTATTTCCCCTGCAGACCAATATCTTTTCTGAGCATGTGGTAGTAATGTACATGGAGTGGCCTGTACTTCACTTGGAGATATCCAGGCTTTTCTTAAGGCTGGATACTCGAACAAGAACAAGGGAATGATGTATTAAGAGCAGTAGATCCTCTACCTTGCACCTTTCCTGGCTGCTGCTGGATGTAGAGGCCTCTGTGTGTGACAACAGCAGTTGTGATAGTTGTTCAGTGCAAACCATTAATGATGCTTATATCTTTCTGGAGAAGTTGGAGCTTGTGCTGTGGAGCTTCTGGTGTGTTTTTTGTGGGCTTGAGTGCCTTTCCCATGTACTGCTTCCTCAGGCCCTCTTTTAATATGGATTACAGAAGAGAATATGAGATCTGTAGGAGCCTGTCAGTGGCTAGGAAGTACAGGACATGAGGAAGGCTGGCTGGCAGAAAAGCTGCCAGTGTTGAGGGTGGCTTCAGAAACGCAGTCGCATTTCTGCGTGGGGATGGGTGCTTCTCTCGGCTCTGTGCCCTTAGGCAGATTTCTCTGGGGATAAGCAAGGTCCAGTGTAGCTCATGTGCTTGTGCAGGAAGCAGATGCGTAAGTTTTCACGGATTCTTTTGGTTACTGTAGGAGCAGCATGGATCCAACTGAGCAGCTGAATTGAGCACCAAGTCAGGTACCAGTATGCCAAAAAAGAGGGTGTTTTGTAGGCTGAGCAGATGCGTCTGTTGCTCTCTGGATAGTGTGGCATTCTTCTGCTGTGTTTGCAGACAGCAGCGAAAGTTGTTAAGCCATTGGGTCTTTGCCAGGGTAAGTAGCTTGAAGCATGGATGAGACTTAAGAGCTGAAGGATTGAGAAGGAGTCCACAGGGAGAAATCAGGTAGTTTTGAGTGGCATCTTTTTGTGCCTACCTCTATTTGTCTCTATCTTGGTACCTGTATTTGCCAAATTATTTTGAGGTTGCTCTGTTAATCACTTAACAGCTTTCTGAGTGACCATTCTGTCCTCCGTGGGTACTGTATTTATCTAGGTGCTTTCTAGCTTCTGGCTTAAGTTGTTCTCTCCTGAATTTAAACCCAAATTATGATCTCCAGCCACCTTTAGAAAAAGGTGCCTTTCTAGAGTTGGTAGATGCATGAACTGATTGGCACAGCACCTTTACTGTGATGGAATTTGCTCATGTTTTGTTACAAATGAACTGGTCAGGCTCAGCAGATGTTTTGCGTGGACAAAAGCTTTTTTGGAACTCCTCTTGACGAGATGCTGATATATCACCAAGGCCTTAATGCTGGTGAAAGAATTGTTGGATGGACATGAGTAGTGTGGGCATTTTCATTGTAGATGGCTCCAGTTTTGGATAAAGATTCCTCAGGCATGGACTGTCCTAAAGGGCTCATCTTCTGGCCTTCAAGCCCATGTCTCTAGACATCAAACACTTTCCAGCAGAGCTGTGACCATCGCTGAAAATCCCCCAAGTCCTGCCATATTCTTTGCTTGGCTTTTCTGATGCATAAATGTCTCTTGAGTTTTCTTTTTCCCATGTTCCTCCTGTGTGTGGGATGTCCAGGAGTGCTACTCGCTGCCAAGAGTCTCAGTTGGAACATGCCTAGGGATTACTTCTTCATCATGTATGTGGGCTGTTGGATACTTTTTTTTAACTCCCATGGGGAGCAGCTGATTTAGCCGTTTTCTGTCCTTTACCACTGGGACCTTGCTAAAGTATTAATTAGGAGATTGGTCTGCAAGTGAACGTCTGCCCTCCCAGCTGTCAACCTTCAGAAAATACTCCAAGAACTCTGAAACAACTAAGGATCGTGACAGTTTCAGGATATGACTGTCTGGCTCCTCCTGCTGGGGTTAGAGCAGTGGGATTTCAAGGTTTACTACCAGTTCCGCAATCCTTGGGTTCACCTCACTGCTCTTCTGTCCAGCATGAGGCAAAGCCAGCACTGGCATGGAGCTGGCAAGAGATATTCAAGAGGAAGTGATTTTAGTAGACAGGTGTCAGGGTAGCCTTAAGCAGAAATGCACAGGTTTTTGAGTCAGTGAAACATTATCCAAACTTTTGTAGAGGCTGGGTTGCTCTCTGGCCCATCTTGGAGAAGTAAAACCAGCTTGTGCTCCCTTTGAGGCCTGTTGCATGGTGTTAGATCCAGCCCAGAATGAGAGTATGAGTCGTTAAGAGTCATTTGTTTAGCTCTCTCTTATGAAACTTACATACTTGCCTTCCTCACGTGCAGTGAGCAGGAAAGTATTAAACACTTGCAGAGAGAAATGAGATAGTTGCCATTTCGGAACTAACTCAGGCTCTCTGCAAACTCAGGCAGATGTCACTGCATCAGGGTTGCCAGGATTGTGAACATAGACCTTCCAAAAAAAAATCTCAAAAATCATTAAGACATGAGTGAAAGCTGAGACTCTGGAGAACATTCTGAGGTCTGTCCGTGCTCCCTTCCCCCAGCCATTCCCATGTACCCCCCTGCTTTGGGAAATGCTGCTCTAGGGGGAGATACTGAGTTGCCCTTGATCACCTCTAGCAGCAGGTACAATGGCATTGCAGTTTTGGCGGAGGCTGCAGGATTTGTGCTGTGTGCAGCTGGCGACACCCAGAGTGGAGGTCTGAGGTCTCAAAGGAGAGAGGTAGGTGAGAGAGACACCCCCTGCCAAATCCAGCTCTAAGTGTCAGTACCCTGGCTAGGAGGAGGCCCATTTTGGCCTGGATGGCAAGAACCGGCCACCTGTGGCTGAATTGGTGTCCCTCACAGAGAGCTGATCATGGCCGCCTCTCGATGACGCGGAGTTGTTCCCAGCTGGATGTCTTGTCCAGGGGGCACGTGTGTCTGCCACGAGTAACATCTGATCGGACTGATGTTCTCCCTAGAGTCCCTCCAATGCCACCTGCCATTCTGGGGACTGTGACCCATCCCTGGGGGGCAGTGTGTGTCTTCTGGAGCTGAAAAAGCCCCCTCCTTCTGCAGGGGCCTTAGGTACAGAAGATCTTTCAACTTTACAGAACCTGTGTCACGTCAGTTTTAAAAATATCTTCTCTGATCCCTTTGGCCAAGCTTATAAGCTGTTGCCAGCATCGACTGGAGAATTTCTGGGAGTTTTTACTTGCAGTGCTTGCAAGGGGTGGGGTGAAGTGGAAGAAGTGGAAGGGGCAGCCAGGAGATTCAGGACATGAGGTGGAGTCACTCCATGTCTCTGTTGGGTCAGCTTCCCCCATATCTTTGCAGGTGGGGAAGGGGGATCCCATGCACACGTGCTTGGTCTCGCCTTCCTCATCATCTGCCTCAGGAGCTGTTCACAAGCTGAAGGAGAGGATCCCACTATCAAGGGCAGAAAGGGTTGGCCCACATGAGTGTAAACTGAGTGCTTTTCTGTTTCAGGACACACAACAATCTCTACATGCCAGAGATGGTGGCTAGGCTGGGGGAGACGTTTGCCAAGGCCTTAGACATGCTGGAGGTGGAGAAGAATGCCATCCTAGGTAAGGGGCTTCTCTTCGGGAGAAATGTGTGGGCAGATTCTCAGAGGTATTTGAGGTAGAGGTCCATCAGTAGCAGTGGAATTGAAGAGAGGCTGGAGAGCCAGCTTCTTGATAGCATTTGCAGCTCAGCTATGGTTGGAACCTTCTGAAATTAAGAAATTAAGTAAGTTACTGGTCTCAGACAAAGTGGTTTCTTCTGCAGAAGGATACCCTACCAAATTGTTTATCCCAGCTAGATGATGGTCTCCGCAACATGACTTTTCAGGCTGGAGAGAGGAGATGCTGTAATTGTCTGCCTTTGAGCAGAATTGGTGCTCAGCAGGATCTCCGAGTGCTGATGCAGAGATGTGTCCTGGAAGGCAAGAGCCAAGCACTGCAGTATGACCCTGTCATTTGTTTCCAGATAGTGTATTAGAAAGAAGCTTTTGGAACCCACCTTAAAACAGGGCTGAGCTTATGAACATAGAAGTCTTTCCAGTCAAGCAGAAGTGTGTGGCCTTTTGGGTAATGTGTGGACCATGACTCTGGAAATTGGAGTTTAATTTCAGGTTCTGACAGACAGTGAAATATTTTGGGGAAGTTGCTTTGTCTTTCTTATCTCCATTTCCTGTCTATAAAATGAGGAGGTGCTTCCTTTACTTGTTTTCTCTGTCTGTGAACCTCTGTGCATAAAGCAGCAGGGCCTCGATCTTTGCTCTAAACTTTTTAATATCATAGTTCAGCAGTAGCTTGTGTCCTCACAAAGACATACAAACCTGAAGACGTGGGCTGTAAGAGGAGCTGTACAACTGTCAGCTTCACTTCTAACCGGATTCTGATAGCTCAAATAAGTTTTGCTTTGGAGAAGTGTGGGGGATATCACAACCTTAGTGCAAACACCTCTGCAGTGGGTACGACAGACCTGAACTTGACTGACCTCTGAGGGGAGGCTCTTCTTTCCCAGGATTGCTGCACCTCTTCCCATTCAGCTGCATGTCGATCATGTCAAGTGCTTCCCTTGCTGCACTGAGCTGGCTGGGGCCTGCCCAGCACATTCCAAAGGTGCGCTGTGGTCTCTCATTGATGTAGCTAAGCTTATTCTTTCCCACAGGTCTTCCTCAGCCCCTGCTGGAGCTTTATGACTCTCCTGTTTACAAAACAGTCTTGGAAAGGATGCAGGGCTTCTTTTGTACCCTTTACGACAACTGGTAAGAGCACCCGATATCCCCCACGCAATCCAGCATTGCACAGCTGGAGCAGTAGGCTGTTGCCGGGTGTGACTTCTCGAGTTATACTTTTCATGTGAGCTGTATCCTACAATATCTGAGTACAAGCTGCAGTGGTGAACCGTACTTGGTGGTTGTAACTTACCACATACACATGAAACACAGTCACTGGAAGTAGTACCTCAAAATGCAGACCTGCTTTTAGCTGTTCTGCAGTTACGTAGTCAGAGTAGAGCACTTATCTGATATCTGGACTAGTTTGTCTCTCTGCCACTTTTAATCATGTGTCAGGATACATCAGTATCACGAAAGTGCGTTTTAGTGCTTAAATGCTTAATTCATTGTTCCTCTGCAGGTATCCTAGAAAAAAAGAGATACTTTGCTAAAACTCCTCTATAGACATGGCAACTGTCTAATCTCCAAGTGATACTACTTGTAGCCTTTGCAGGCCAGAGGCATGTTACCTGTTATTTAGCAGACTTGCAACTAACTTGTTTTTTATTGAAGTTTCCACATCCTGGGAAATGCAGGCCCCTCCATGCAACAAGATTTCTACACTGTCGACGGTCTTGCCACCCAGCTCCTCAGCTCAGCTTTCATCAACCTCAACAACATTCCTGATTACAGGCTGCGTCCCATGCTGCGTATCCTTCCATCACTGTCTCAGGCCAGACAGGGAGGCTTTGAAGGCGTAAATTGAACACCTGCATCATCTTCAGTATGGCTAAGCCCAAGAAGGGTGATGAAGGAGGTGAATAAATGGGGATACACCTGGTGTGGATGAGGTGTGAGTCCAGGAGGGCACGAGCAGAAACAGTAGTGCATGGGCTCACAGAGGATAAATGCAGAGGATTTGTGTGGCCCTGGAGGCACCGTGAGAGTTGCGTAATGTCTTCTCGGGCACAAGGGAGGTCAGACACTGTAGGAGCTTGGCTGTAAGGTATCTACCTAGACTTTGTGCTTATGTGGGAGACCATCTGGATTTCCCAGCCCACTTTTTAGGGCTGGATGTTCCATCTCACAACTAGGAAGTGGGTGCTAAGCACCCTCAGCTTTTTCTGCTAAACTGTCAGGGAAGGGGGCTGAATACCTCATGCTCTTACTGTATAGAGATGCTACTTGTGAGTTCAGGGATGTGAGAAGATGGGCTTTGAGGTTTCTGTCACTTTGCCTCCCAGTGGAATGGGCTGGTTTGAGCAGTGTCCTGCAGTCTCCCTAGCAGCTGGCCATGTGTGCTGGACCTCTTCCTTAACTGGCCTATGTAGGTGTCTTTGTGAAGCCCTTGGTACTGTCCTGCCCTTCAGAATACTACGAAACCCTTGTCTGCCCCATGCTGGGACCACTCTTTACCTACCTGCACATGGTAAGAAAACAGCTTGTTCGACACCTTGTTTGACCCAGACTCCTTGTAGCGGCTGGCAGCAATGTCTGAGAATGTCTCTATCTTCAAAGCCAGCACAGACAAGTGCCTTGATGCAAAATGATTTTGATGTTGTTTGGGGAGAGCTCTTGAGATATGTTGAACCCTGGCTGTTGCCCAGCACCCCTTGCTGTGAATTCAAACCTGTGGATATTGATTCCCTGAGAATTTTTGTGGAGGTTTCTGTGTGTCTCTCATTTTCCTGACAGCTCACTTAGATTCCTAACAGCCAGCACAGCCACAGCATCTTCAGCAGAGGTGGTAGCAGTTCTTGCCCCATTCAAGATGAGGCTCGGGATGAGAGCTGTGTTTAAAGCTCTTGTGCGTCGCTTCTATCACCACTGTCATTTGGGCCTCTTTGCGTTGTGTCCAGTGTGCTTCCTTAGGAAGGTGTTGAATCTTCCCTTTTGTCTTGAACAGAGGTTGTCTCAGAAATGGGAGGTGATCAGCCAGCGGAACATGCTCTGGTAAGTTTCCACCCCTTGATATGAGGGGGAAATGGGGAGTGGAGTGGAGCTTTGGGCTTTACAGGGCCCTTTGCCCAGGGGACAGCTCTGCCACCACAGGGCTGGAAAACACTGTGTTTGCCCTGACGGCAGCTCATTCCTCGTGCTTGAGCAGAGGGCATTCTTTAAGACATTGGCTCCCTTCACACTAAAACCCTTTTTCCTCAGTGAGGATGATGCTGCAGATGACAACCCCGAGTCTCAAGAGATGCTTGAGGAGCAGCTGGTCAGGCTGCTGACCCGAGAAGTCATGGATCTCATCAGTAAGTGAAATCAAACTAGGTCCCCTGGGGTATTTGGGAAGTTTGCCCTGGAGAGGAAAACAGGAGTATCCAATGTGCAGTAAAACTTTACTATAATGGCCATTAGTATTTAAGATAATCCTTAGAAACCATGTGTGAAACAACTACACCTACCAAAATCTTAGCCAAAACCGAGTAAGACAAAACAGGAGTATCCAATGTGCAGTAAAACTTTACTATAATGGCCATTAGTATTTAAGATAATCCTTAGAAGCCATGTGTGAAACAACTACCAAAATCTTAGCCGAAACCTAGTAAGACATCAATTAAAAACCTTCAGAAGGTAATTTCTTCCTTTTATTTTGTTAGCATTTAGGGCTCTGTGGTTTTGGCAGTGTCTCTATAGGAGTCCAGCCCTCCTTTGGAATCTGAGTTCTCCCTTTCTCTGCCCTGGAGCCCGATACAGGGCATCAATTTGTGGACAAACCTGAATGTAGAGCAGTTTTGGTCCTGGCAATTGCCATGTCTCTAGCCAGACAAAAGGGAAGAGTCCCTCCCCCAAAGCAACCTCCCTCCTTTGTGTTCCTCTTCTCACACGTGGTGTTTTTGTCAGCATGGCTTTGAGCAGAGAAGTTGGGAGAATTGACTCTGCAGAGATGACAGATCCTCAACCTTCTGTCTCCTTGATTGGCCTTGTTGCCTTAAGACGGTGTTCTCAGGTTTTGGGCTTCACATGGTTTTGCATATCTCTGGTTCTCAGTAGTCTGAAGCGGCCACCGTGCAGCAGGTTCCACTGTGGGTGGATGCTATGGGTGGGGTGTTCCAGCCTTCTGGGTAGTGCAATATTTGGCTTTCAGATTCTTCAGATGCTCTGTAAGAACTGGGGGAGCATGAAGCAGCTGTGAGCCCGTCAGAGTCTGTAGAATAATCTCTGCATGTTCTGAAGTAGCGTCTTCCCCTTTTCTGCTCCACTGACCTGCGACTGTTTTTTGCAGCTGTTTGCTGTGTTTCTAAGAAAGGTGTTGAGCATAACACTACTGCTGCTGTAGATGGAGATGGTGAGTAAATGCCTACCTTTGCCTTTCCCGCCCTCGGTTTATACAAGCACTTTTCCATTTCTTCATGCATTTCTTGAGGGACAGGCAGACCTGTTGCTGGCAGTTCTGTGTGAGTGGTACAGGTTTGGTAAGAAGTCTTCAGCTCCATCCTGCCCAGTGTGTCTGGTGGCTACAGAAAAATCTGGCCTAGCCTAGGAAGAAGCGTGCTGCTGTGTAGGGTTCACAGGTAGCATGTTGGAGCAGCTGATTCTTAAGGTACAAAGAAGAGGGCGGAGGAGAAGAGGGTGATATGCATGGTCTTCCTGAGAGCTGGTGTTTGGAGAACTAGTTGGGTGCCCTTCCTGCTCTACAAAGGGTGAGGTGTTTTCTGCTTGGAGAACGATGTTCTCGCAAGCTGTGGCAGCATAGTGAATCTGTGAGTGTCTCCTGGTTCCAGCTTGGTTCTCACTGTGCCTCCCTGTGGCTCCCTCAGTCCCTGGGAGGCCACGTTCACTGCACTGCCTTTGCTCTGTTGTGCAGATGATGAGGTGATGGCCACAGAGGTGACTCCCCCTGCCAGCGCAGAGCTCACCGAGCTTGGAAAGTGTCTGATGCAGCAAGAGGTAAGAGCGCATGCTCTGACTTCACCATCCCTTCTTTGTACTCGTCATCATGCTTGTCTGTGGTGCAGCCAGACTGCTGCAGAGATCTAGGGTGCTGGAGCATTCCTCAGTCCGAGAATCTTCTCTCTTGGGAACATACATGTCTTTTAAGGGCCGTATTAACAGTTGCAGAAGCCACACAACAAAATGGGTGCTGGGATCAAGTATAACATGCAGCTACGGAGTTTCAGCCCTTCTGTGGGTGAGGCCCTGGGCATTCAGCTCCCAGGGCTCCCTGGCTCTGCCTCTATCCTTGGCTTCAGCCTTCACACAGAATCACAGAATCACAGAATTGTTGAGGCTGGAAAAGACCTCTGAGATCATCAAGTCCAGCCTATGACTCAACACCACCACATCGGCCAGACCGCGGCACCGAGCGCCACATCCAGCCTCTCCTTAAACACCTCCAGGGACGGTGACTCCACCCTTCCCTGCGCAGTGCATCCCAGTGCTTGAGCCCCCTCTCCGTGAGGAAGTGTTTCCTGAGATCCAACCTAAACCTTCCATGATGCAGTTGCTTCTATCTATTTAAGAAACAATATGAATTTAAGAAATAGATCTATTTAAGAAGCAATTTAAAGTGTATCTATTTAAGAAACAATTCAGCAGCTCTTTTTTTCTGTAAAATCTGCCAGAGTTGGCATAGAAGCCACAGTGTTAATATGACCTACTCTGCAGAGTGCCTTCATCCTGATACCTCTGTATTCCTTCTCTCACAGCACACCTCAGAAGGTCCTGCAGAAGCTTTTGCAGTGAGTTGAGAGTAGCGGCTGATGGGAACCCATGGGTGCTTCAGGAGATGAGGGGAGGAGGTTTGCTAGATGTTGGTTCCTCATGGCTATGATGGTGCACACTGGGTGCCTTTGAGCACTTTCAGCTGGAGCAGCAGCAGCACATGGGATCTCAGAAGATTGCCCCAAGTTGCTCCTGCAGAGTCCCTAGATTGCCTCTTGACTCCCTCTGACTAGTTTCCCTCTCTGACTCCTTTTCAGGATGTCTGCACTGCGCTGCTGATCACTGCCTACACATCCCTCTCCTGGAAGGACACTTTGTCCTGCCAAAGAACCACAACACAACTCTGCTGGCCGCTGCTCAAACAGGTACTTCTGGGAGGAAGAAGGGATTAGTTCTGGCAGAGTTGGGAGAGGAAGCTCTGAATGTAGTGAGAAGCAAAGCTGCTTCACCCCGGGCAGCTTCTCCCTCAGGAAGACGGAGCTGCTGCAGAAACACAGTCATGTATCTGTATCCTGTGTCTGTGCTGACCGTGCTTCTTCCCCAGGTGCTTCCAGGAAACCTCCTGCCTGATGCTGTGTCTTGGTTTTTCACAAGTGTGCTGAAGGGCTTACAAATACATGGGCAGCACGATGGCTGTATGGCAGCTCTTGTCCACCTGGCTTTCCAGATCTACGAGGCCTTGGTGAGAAATTCTGCTCCTTTATCCAGATGTCAAGTTGGCTGGGGACTGGTGGAAAACTAGTCCTATGCCCGCTTAGGTAGGGGCAGAGGCCAGTGGCCCCCTGAAGAGGGCAGAGCTGCTTCTCTGCTCTTAACAGAGCTGTGTTAACCCTGCTCCTCCTTGCAGCGCCCTCGTTATGCTGAGCTGAAAGCTGTCATGGAGCAGATCCCAGACATCCAGAGGGACTCTTTGGAGCAGTTTGATTCAAAGCTGCTCAACCCAACACTGCAGAAAGTGGCAGACAAGCGCCGGAAGGATCATTTCAAGCGTCTCATCGCGGGTTGCATTGGGGTAGGTGATATCATGGAGGAAAATGAACCTGTGTCATTTCACACCTGTACCCTGCAGGAGTGATGGGGCAGCAAACCTGCCTGCTTCTCTCCAGCTGCGCCAGTCCTCAGCCAGGAGACTGCTGCAGCGTATTCTGTTTGTTCTGTCTCTCTCCAACTTGGGGGTGCAGCGGGGATGGCAGCACAGACTGAGCCGCCTCTCAAGCGATGACTTCTCACCAAGAGGCAGGGGGGACCTTGCACAAAGGGTGCCTCGAATGGGGAACAAGGTGTTAAAATGTTCAAATGAAGCTTTTGGGTGGTGCTGGGCTTTTGTGAGGATGGTGGCATTGGAGCCTGGTGGTTTTGAATTAGAAGCTGGGGGAGGTGGTGCACTTGTGGTTACCTCAGTGCCCTGGCACATGGAAGGACTGGGCCTGAGATTCCCTAAAATGCACGTATGGGGTCTGGGCCTAGGGATTGCTGGCAGTCTGGGGTCTGCCCCTGAGCTGAGTGGGGGTGTGAATGCAGTAACAACTGATGCCCGCCTGTCTGTCCTCTGCAGAAGCCCCTTGGGGAGCAGTTCCGCAAGGAGGTCCATATCCGGAACCTCCCATCTCTCTTCAAAAAGGTGAAGCCATCATTGCAGACGGATGTGCTAGAAAATGAGGATGGAGAGGCCCTCACTGCACTCTTTGAGCCCTGAGCCTGGGATGCTGCAACCATTTCCTGCCCTACCTTATATTTTGTCTCTCCTCATAGTAAGCACATTAGATTCTCCTTGTCATCGCCTCCACAAGCATTTGTCTGAATAAAGCCCCTTACAGGTCCTG